GGCTTTGCTTGTGCTAGGGCAGTCTGGGACCAGCTTTTTTTCTCAGCATGTCTCAAAGTTCTCTTAAGAACTTTGTCTCAATGTTAGTTTGCATTAAACCAAGGTAGACCAAAATGGCCCTAAACCTTTGTGAACTATCTAGAAATACACTATCCAGATAGAAGCACACTGCCTTCTCTGGGAATTTGTGATCTTCCTGTCCCTAGAAAATACATCACATCCCTACTGGGTGAGGCTTCTTCCAGAACACAGTGGAAACAGCTAGCTATGTTTTGGGGGTTGTTTTGTTTTTATTTTTAATCTAGGCTGGTAGAAGTGCCTGTCTTGCACAAAATGATACAGAAATTAGAGCACTCACAGGAGACATACGATCAAATTTCATATTTTTTTTCTGCTTTAGAAATCCACATCCACAGCCTCTATCTATTACTAGATTATAGGCTTTTCTGATATGGGGGTACTTTCAAACCTTTTATTATGCTGAAAAAAAGTTTGATACAAGTTGAAATTTGACCAGAGGAAAAAGCAGCACCCAAAAATGACCATAACTCCGTAGTCTTCTGTTTATGGCAGTCCACATAAACTGTCATGACTGTATACAAACATAGAACAGCGACCAGAATTCAAACTCCTTTTACCAAAAATATAAAGGGATGAATCCTTACTTAACCGAAATTTGCTGTTCTTGCCTTTGTGAGGACAGAAACTTAACTCCATTCACTGACTAACCAAAGGCAATGTGGAATAGCAAAGTGCCTGAAACAAAACAAGAAAACAATGACAGACTGGCATGGAGAAGATATGCATTGGAAAGGAGTAGGATGGGATGAGAAGCTTGTTGAAACTCAGACTGGGAAGAAAAAAAAAAAAAATCAGTTGAAGGCTAGATTTCAGAGGAGTCAGTCTCACACTAAAACCACAGGAGTAATACAGGTTGAAAAACAGGAGCTGTGGCACATGTACCCAATAAGTGAAGGTCTGACTGCTAGCGAGGCTGTAGCTGTGTATCTACAGTTATATTGTAGCTCTCACTACAATTTACAAACTGCAGACAATGTCGTGGTACAGTCTTACAACCTGACTCTGGCTAGCAGTCTCAGCAAGTTTGTAGTCAAGGTCAGTCACTGTGCTGAAGCCCCTGTTCCTACGTCTTCACTGCTATCATTATCTGTGCCGTTTGCTTCACAAATAGCATAAACAAAGCTGTAGTGTCAACCCAATTATCTGCAGAACTCTGTCCTGGCAGCCTGTGTGCCTTCGGAATTCCTCATAACTCTAACTACCCATTACATATGAAGTTGATTATGCTATTTTTACTTCTAAACTTTCCCATTCTACATTTAGCTGAATTACCAGTCTCTTGACTAATTCCTCATTTAAGATGGTCAATAATAATGACACGACAGTGCTTCCAGCTTTTTTTATCATTAGCGGGCATTGCTCAAAAATATTTTTTAAGGACCATATCTGTTTTCTTTCCAGTACTTACCTACAGCATAGTGAGATCTCTCCAGCTAAATGTTACACTTTGTCACATAATTCCTACTTTTGTGGCTACTCTGAGAGAAAACTACATATGAAATATCATATTCTTTTATTCCAGCTCTTCGACAGGAAGAATGCTCATTACTATCATACTTTTATTGATGGCCAGAAATGCAACCATTAAAGCATTAAGAATCTTGGTAGTTACTGTAGGAAAATTTTACAAGAACTGGAGATCCACGGAAGAGGATCTAGCACTATCATACCATCAAAGATTTGTCTCAGTTTAACAGACGTGTCATTGCAGAGTAAAGTGTTTTCAATGAAGCCTGCAATGCTAGAATTTGAGACTGCTGTAGAAGCACTTTTGGGGTTTTACATCTTTGAAAGTTTTCAAAACTGTTTTTACTGTGCTGATATTTAAGATTATTAGAAATTCTGGAATGTGTAAAAAAAATAGTTATTCAGTTATACAGGTGGAAAAAAGTTTTTTCTTTTGTACTGACTGACAGCCAGAAAATACAGAATCTGGAATTTCCTAAGAAAGATTTTTTTACATATAAAATACTTATTTGTGGAAGTCAATATTTTTCACAAAAATGTGCATCAGTTTTACTGAGGATGGAATTTCTGCCCAAAAAGAAAGATTAATTTCAGAAAAAAGCAATAGCCCTACGTTAACCATAAATCATAATCTACAAATGGAATTCACTCTCTGCTAAAATAAGAAGAGGCATTTAAATTTCAGTCTCCCAAAATCCAGCTGGGTATCCTTGCTCTCTGGCTTTTTCTTTGTTTTGGGGGTGGATGAAGCTGGTTGTTAGCTCCATTCTGATGTAGAATTGGGCACTTTCTAAAACCCTGACATTTTTACAGGACACAAAGATTTTCCATCGATTCACCAATTGTGAGACTGTACAAGAGTTGCTTATTCTGAGAATACCTGTATTACTGCTATGTTAGGTTTTAAATGATATCTGCAGAACAATTTACACAGTACTTTCTATAACAGTCCTTTCTAAAATGACACTTCCCAGCACAGTACAGACAGAAATGACATACTGCAGTACATACTGCAGTACCTCCAGCCAAGCCTTTTTCCGTAACTGCAATAAAGAAATCAAGTTTGTCAAGGAGATAACTGCTCTTTTCTTTGGCATATTGAAAACTGTTAGCTCATCGGGTCACAGATGGACACTGTCATAATCTCACCTGAAATTCACTTTCATTTTACCATTGTACCTCTGACTGTGTACATAAACCAAGAATCAATCTTTATGTTTGTTCTCCTTTGCTGTGTAAACACAGTATATTTATATAACTGTAAAATCTATTTTTAACTAGAAGAGAACTGGAAAAATGAACTTGTCATTTGTGTTCAAGAGTAATTGATAGACCCTTTTCCCTATTTTGGGATCTTTGGTAGAGTATGGATTTCAAGACATGCCAAGTACGCTTATCTCATTGTTTCTTCATGATGAAGACTACATTTCCTGATATGCTAGTGGACTGACATGAGTATCAGAAACATGTATTTGTACTTTTACCTAAAACATGATGTTGCAGATTATATCTATCATAATTTGTTAGACCAATTCAAGATATTGGTCTTAATCTAAAAATTGAAATAAATAATTTGTGTTCTTGATCCCTTAGAACAAGATGTTCTCTGCTGCATTCTGAAGTAAATGTGAAAGATCCAACAGATTAGCTAACAGCTTGAAAGACTGCATACAGCGATGGCAACACTTTATAAACTGAATTCACTGCTTTGTAATTTGAAGATTTTTCACTACTTCTTTCCTTTCTTTCATAAAAAGAAAAAAAACCAACAAGAACACCAAACTATCTCTGTCTTCAATTTTTATGGAGAGAAACAATCTAGAGAGGCAATCTGTCATTTCATGAATGAACACAGAATAAACATACTCTTTTTTTGTACCCATAATTAAAAATCATGTTAGTTCTCAGAGCAAGAAAGATGAGTTTAAAACTTAAGTCCAATGAATAAAATGAATTCAGGAGTCACTATCTTAAAACTTACATTGTTCTTTAAATGAATCTCTCTTTATAAAAAGGAAAGAGATACCAACCAATAAAGCTAACCTTATTCTATTTTTCAAATGCGTTCCTTCAATTTTATAACACACTTTGCATATACCTTACATTGAAAAGAAACAAGGAAAATGAAAATGCTTTTTAAAATTGGGAAATCACTCCAAAATGGCATATGTGTTCATCATAGGAAAGTTTAACTATAATTAAACTATAGGTGATACATATTTAAATAAGAAAAGTTCCATTTAAGAAATTTTTTTGAAACAAATTCTTAAAAATGAGGAATTAGTAACTACGGCACTCCTATTGTAAATTAGGATAATTCTGACAGCTGTGCACCTTGCCAAATGCCTAAAATGGTAGATAGTATGAAGCAGTAAACAGCTACTGAAAGGGGAAAGGAATATAAAAGCTCCTTATAAAGAGATAGGGCAGCGCTCATTGTTATTCAAGCACATTAGTTGCCATATCCTGTTTCCATTGACTACAGTGGAAGCTTCAAACAGGTGCAAGTCCCATGAGACTAAAGGGAATAAAACGTACAGTCATGGTATGAAAGCAACAGTGTATAAAGTGTGGTGAGACAGGATATGTAATTCCAATCTGGTACACAAGAATCTAACAAAACTATTTAAATGCAGTGCCAAGTAAGGATGCAACTGAAAAAAGAGACATTTCTAAACAGAAATTTGGCAGGTCTCCATTCAATACTACAAGAAAAACGCAGGAAAGTGTTACAGAAATGAGAGTGCAAAACTATAGTGGGGGGAGAGAACAAGGGAGACCCAAAAGCAGCCATAAGCATCATTCTGTTCTATAGCAATACAATATCACTTGTTCGGACACAGCTGTTGGCATGCCTTGGTGGATACTGCAGACTGGTCTGCTCTGAGAATTGTCGGGACTTAGACCCAAGTATGTTACCCATTTTTATTTATTCTCTTCTGTATTATCATGAGCATTTGAAAATGTTTGGGATTTTTTTTTTTAAACTTATATAATCTTTAAAGAGAAGCCTTAGGCTATATTCTTACATCAGTTGAGTTATGCATGATGCCCTCAATTAATTCTATAAAGAAAGCAGCTGAGCATTATATTAATTAGAAGCTGGTCAAAAATAGAGTACTTATCCCAAAGGAAACTACATGACTTCAAAATTTCTTTTCAGACTGAATCAGAAAAGAAAGCTATGCAACATAAAAACTATCTGTCTAAAATGGCAGTAATAAACACCAAACAGTCTCAAGATTAAACTAATCTGGATGAGTATTACAGCAGGATGACCAAACTTCGACATTTAATTTTAAAACCCGATTTTGAGGTTAAAATGAAGACTGAAGGTAACAATTATGAAGGGAATAAGGCAAGACCAGAAATTACTATAAGAGGTAAGACACAGAACAGATTAAGGAGCTCTTCTGTAGTTAATGTTTTATGATGAAAAGGTAAACATATACCTGTGCAAGCATGGGAAATCCGAGGTTCCTGCAACCATTACAAGGTGTCAATGCCTCCCATAAACCTGAAGGACCACAAGTATTTTCACCTGCGTCATCATCTTCTTCCTCTCTTGGTGATAAACATGTTGAAGAAGGCCTCTGTGAATAAAGAAACAGTACTTTCAAATTAAACACTGATATATTCTAAAGAAACATTTTACTTAATGAAAAGAACTTAAAAGATACCTACTTATAAATTCCAAAAGTGCTGTTTTAATACAAAGTAGCTACTCAACTGTCAATCTGCTGTATGAAAAATCACACTTTCTAAGGAAAGTGCATGTTGATCTATCTGCAATTATACTTTAAATGAGTAAACATAGTATCTTACATTAAAAATATGTATTTATTTTCTTCATTATCAAGTAATTGGCAATTTCTACTTCATTCTACTTTAAAGTTTGCTTTAACATCACTAAGTTTAGGATATCCCACAGAGAATAAAAACTAACATTCATATAAAAAAATACTATCCCCAAGAAGGAAATAATATAAACTAAGAGGATCTTGCTTCAATAGTCATCTGCTGTGTTCAGAAAAGAAAAGTACAGCTGTATTATATTTGCCTGGATCAGTCCAAGGTTTTTGCTGAAAAAAGATAAATTCCATCAAAATATGAGGTTTCAATTTTTATTTTATATTTACCAATAATAAATTAGCTAGAAGGGATGAAAGGTATGGGAAAAAGTCATTCAGTTGTGAGCATTAAGGCTTCCATATTGGTCTCAGTGATAAGGGAATAATGCTGATTTTTGCTTAAACCAGATCCTAATTTTTTATGACAGCCAGAAACAGGAAGAGGGGACAGTTCCCATTTATTTATGTTATTTTGCTACACAGGATAGTCCACCCCAACTGAATGAATTGCAGTGGCAGTTTTTATTGATTTCAGGAGGAAGAGGAGAAAAGTTAAGCCAGTAATGAACGATTTTTAAAATCTCATGTTAAAAAAAAATTATGATAACAACAACAACAAAGTAAATTTTTCTCACATCTTAATTCTTTGTCCATATTTAAATTGGAATATGTAATAGCTGTTTTAGCCTGCTTGACATTTGTTTGTGCAGCCTACCAGATATTCAGATACTAAATGCTGTCTTTAGGAATGCTTGTTTATCTTCAACAATCTTTCAGAAGATCTGGATTTTTGCCCGACCAACACAATGCTGTTTGAGACTATGGCTGACCACATCTATTAATCTGGTGGTAACATTAACTCTAAAGCACTGCTATGAGGCCCATATAAAAATAAAAAACCCTACCACTTAACTGCAGATTATTCTGGCCAATAGAATAAAGAAATGTGTGGAGTCTGCTGCAAGAAAGGGAATGCAGCGGTGAAGGAAAAGTAGGGGGGGAAAGAGGTGGAGAAACAGCAGCAGTTCTGAAGATGAACACAAGTTGACAGAAACTGTAAGAGAAGCAAAGGCTCTGCACAGACAGATACTAACTCAAATTGTGTAATATCTGAGGATCATTTAACCTTTGACTCTCGTGCTAACTTCTTATACACAGATGTGGTTGATATACCATTAATCTAAGCAGAAAAAAATATTTCAAATTCTCTGTCAGCTCACTCACCAAAGATGAGAAATACGATACATCCATCGCTACTAGTCTGACACCCCTCAGTTAGAAAATGGTTGTTCCCTTGTTGCAGACTTCATGAATCTAGCCATATCTTCTAAAGTTAGGTGGATTTATTTACTTTTCATTTTAAAAGTAAATTTCTGAAACATTCTTAGCATGGTATTTCACAAGGTTATTTTGACAGTCAAGTGGTACCACAGACTGTGTTGCCATAGCAACCAATATTCTTACACAGATTATCAAAAGGATTGGGTTAACCCTGCAGAGTGTGGGTCGTGAAGGACTATTATTGCTATGCATTTACATACACAAAAGGAAGCAGACTACAGGTCTTTCCCTTCTATTTATGACGTCATCTTCCATGGTGGTTGCCCTACGTTTATATTTTAAATCTCAGAATTGTTGTACCAGAGAATAAAGTGCTTCTTGCCCCCTGGAGCAAAAAGCAAAGAACTGCAGCAGTGCTAGGTACAGGAAAGCAGGTAACGCACATTAGATGTGACCTTACAATCCAATGTAAGTGAATGAAGACAAAAATAATAAAAAAAAAAGTATAGTCAATGCACCTTCTAAAGGTAAAAAATGCACTCACATAATATCAGAGAGAATTTTTTAACACAACTAAAGGAAGATGAATAATGAAATTCAATACATTTGACTCATTCAAGGGAGAACATGTGAATATTTAGCCATTACAGGAAGAGAGTAGAAAAAATTATAGCAAAAATATTATTGAACAATAGAAAAAATACACAAGCAAAATGAGACTTGTATTATTTCCATTAGATTTATTTCATATAAATAGCCTAAGATAGAGTGGGGATCTCACAAATTTAAATTAATGTTGTCAATATGACTGAGAAGAAGTGGGGAATATTATACAAGCAGATCTCCTGATCATTCAAAAAAGGACCAGTCGATGTCAGAGTTCATTAGACACATTATTGGAACAAATTGACTAGTACTCTTATGCAACTAGAGAATCCAGGTATGAATTATACAATACAGGCTAATTTACAGACTACTGCAGAATAGGGTTGGCTCTTTTTATACTTAATGACTGATTTCTCTTTTCTTGCCCAGATTTCTGCTACTGATAAAGCACTAAAAAGGAAGCATTAGGAGAAATGAATGCAAAGGGTCAAGAAACAGTTATCACTATTGCCTTTCTCACCCACCCCTGCTGCCAGGAGCCCAGTTCTTCCTAGACAACAGGTGCAAAGGGATAAGTGAGAGTTGCTGCAGGGAGAGAGCTGCATTTGCAAAGAAGAGAAAAGGAGTTAATAGTTGCATGAAAGGGGAGTCAGAAGTCCCCCAAATGGAGTAGACTGGGTTTGCATACCCCAGGGAGAGGGATGCACCTGGAGGAGACAGATGTTATACAGAAAAATCTACAATCAATCCACAGACCTCAGACTGTCACACAAGCCCATAAAACTCCCAACCCAGACCACCCAGATTCCTGCTATTCTCTCCCAGCCTTCATTCCTTTCCCAGAACTCCCTCATTTTTCTGTTCTGTTTTATAATTTAATTTTGCCTCCTCAGAGATCCTTTGGACATGAAAATCTAATTCTGTGTGTGCTGCTGGAAAGCTTTGAAATAGCCCTGTGGGGAGAGTTTTAGTGAAACCAAAGTTATTTATGCCCACTTCTCAGAAAAAAAGAAATAAATAACGAGAGAGGAAGAGATTTCTGTCACCTAAAGAAAAACAGACACAACTGAGACCCTTTTATTCATGCCTGTTTTGACTCCAAAAAAAAAAAAGTAAATGTAGTTAGAAAATGCTACCTAGATCATAGTTGCTCAATTAATTGAATTTGCCATTATGAAATGGTGAAGTCAACATATTAACTTTAAAAAGGCCAACTCTGCCTAAGCTAGAAGAGACACGAGTATAAGCATCATATATCCTCAAACAAAACAGACAGAAAACCCTTAAAAAAATATTAGGGATAATATATAAAAAGGAAAAATTGGTAGGGAAACTACAAGAGTGATACAGAATAAAAGATTTCATAAAAGTTCTGGTTTTTACTGGAACATTGAACTAAGTGTTAAAAATTGCTTATAGCAGTAAGAGACTAACAATATAATTTCTCTATACATAAAAAAGAGAGAATAATAATATAGCAGTAAGGGAGTAGTAAGATCTAGCATAAGGACTTTGGACTATTACAATTAGTGGCAAGTTCTCCCCAGATTCTACTGGGCCTGACACATCACCTCTGATTTTCATATCTCATGAGCATTTAGATTATGCCTTTGAAAATTTAGGTATGGAAGCCTTCCTCTTCGTGTCTCCATCTACACAAAAGGCAAAATTTGCCCAGTAGGATACATTACACTAAAGGATACTTTATTCTGTAAACAGGCTATTTGTTCTCCTAGTATATGGATGTACATCAGATTGGCTATCACAATAACTTGACATCTCTCTCCTGATCTAACAGAGCAAGCCAATATTTAGCAACAGTTAGAATGATGAGTATAGACAAAAAAAAGCAGAGAAAGTCTGTTCCACTCTTAAAAGTCAACAGGAAAAGAAAAAGAGAGCACTTTTAATCTTAACTATTACTTAACGCTGCCAAGTTCACAGCTCAAGAAGCTTTACACTATGTATAATCCACACAAAGTTTTGGCCTTCCTTTTTACAGATGTCAATGATTTCCTGACTACCATATGACCTCATTATCTAGAGAGGTTTTCTCTATGAATGCAGGAAGTCATACAAAACCTCTTATTTCCTTTTATTCCCTCTTTTTCTCAGTTTTTAATGAAAACTCGTCTGCTTTCTGCCTTGACATTTGTAAGCAGCCATTGCTAGGCAAAACATGATTTAATTCCCTCATTTCAGGATACAGAGGAGACTTTCCTGTAGTAGTCTGGTGAAATCTAAAACCAAACATAAAAATCTTTCTTTACTTCTTGTATCTCTGTTTTTGCATAATTATCATCCGTTTGCAGAAGTATACCCTTTCAGACAGTATCCACTAGAGCAAGATAGCACCAGCAAAACTGTAAAAGATATAAAATAATAGGACCTTTACCATTTGCTATTGCCTCATAGTTCTGGACACTAATGCTAACTATTCATTTATCTTGCAGCGTATCACATATCAAGAAAATAAGCTTTTTGAAATGGAACAGCAAAGACAAAATCCGAAAGGCAATCTCCTTCTGCTTATGGAAGGTAGAAAGCAACCAGACATTTGCTAAGCTAAATGCTACCACTCAGTCTGCAACAATGAAGTCAGTAGGAGGTTTCTTCTGAAGAAATATTTTGTCAGACAGAGGACCATGCAAATATTTCATATGATCCTAACCACTGGATTACAGAGGCATGTCTCTACCTCTCCTCTGCCTGAGCCAAAGGATATGTAACTCATGTCGTGAAATACAAGTGAAAAAAAAAAAATACAGTTCTATAGTCTAATACTCTTAATTTTACATTATACTAAGAACTAATAAAGAGGGAAACTGCTCCTGAATATCCTCTATAAATTAGGC